GTGATAGTTTACTATGTTAATATTTAACATTGGGCACATCTAAAAATCTTGATAGACCAGATGTTTCAACTAAGGACTCAGTTTATCCTGTATGAATGCAATGGTTTTGAATAAATTGCATACATGTAACAATAGTTCCAATTTGAAAATGCTTTCAAAATATGAGCATTCTAGTCCTCTCCCCACTACTGGTGTATAGTGCTCAAAATTTCAGAAGACAATCTTTACTAGGCATTTTAACACAAAACATACAAATTTTTGTTTACTAATTCTGCTTTTGTCATCAATGCAAATCTCTTTAACATCTAGAAATACTAGATGTAGATCAGGACTCATTTGTCCTTTATATACACTAGGTACCCAGCAAAATAAAACAAAACACATAGACTAAGGGACAATATCAACTTACTTCACTATAAGCACACTGGCATGGCATCCAGAGAACCAGCACACAATGTGTACTGTTCAACAGGGGTTTGGGGTATTATCCAAAACATTTCACAAGAATTTTAACAAAAAAGAAATTTACAAAATAATATGTTATATTTTACATAACAAAATAAAATATTATATTATACTATTTCTACTTTTAACATATTTCAGGCACTTTAGAAAGTCTAGAAGGACCGGATATTTCAAAAACATACTCAGCATCGTCAACTATATATACAGTGATGAGGGATAAAGCTCACACACCAAACAATGGTTGTAGTACCAAAAATGTCTTCTGGCTCAGTCCCTTGTCCTTCTTGTGGTCAACGTCCCCTAACCCACTGAGCAGACATGGCATGTCGCTCCTGGAGGTGGTCTAAAAACTCCATTTCAAAGTCATTTCCAGAAGACATTTCTGCTTTTTTAAAACAAATGGGTATTTACAAGGTGTTGTTTTCTAACTCCTATATTTTGCAACCTCTTTACGTCTAGAAAGTCTAAGTACAGCAAAAGTTTTCTTTAAAAAGATCAGGGGGAAAGTTAAGAGCAGTTTTTTCATATCACCCTTTTATTTTGCTGAACCAAGACCTGTCCCATGGCAGCTGACCTTTAACCCCAGTGGCTACTGGACTCCCCCCCACCCCCCACCCCCGCGTGGTCCCCTTCTCACCAGTCGCGTCCCCACGTGTCTCGCTCGGCCTCGGCTGTTGGGCAGATGCGCCTGGATTCGCTCCCCTCCAGGACCCTGAGGCCTCGGTTGGCGCTGGGGGGCGAGGTGAGTCTTGTGGAAGGACACAAGGGTCTCGCAGGGCGCTCCTCTGCAGGCTCCAACTTTCAGGCCCCCGCCTGCTTGGGCCCCCAGATCCTCCTGGTGTTCCAGTGGCCATAGCTCTTCTCGTCCCCAAGCTGGCTGCCACCCAGAGATGCTGTGACCTCAGTGGCTTCTTCCCCTGGGCTGGACAGGACTGGGCTCCGAAGGGCCACAGCCTTGGGGACATGCAGGCGGGGGGAGGCTCAGGTCCTTCAGGGCCTGGGCAGCGGTGGGCGGCCCAGCGGGGCCTCAGGCTGTCGCCTGTGGTGGCCCAACTTAGCTGCTGGCTTGCGCTGAAGGCCCCAGAGGGCTGGGGAGCAGGTGTGCCCCTTCCTTAATAGGAGCTCTCCTGGTGAAGTTTTGTAGTGAGAGAGCTTAACATATACTTGGTGATTTTCAAGAATACACTGTTATTCACGGCAGTCACCAGCTTGTAGGACAGAGTGCTGCAGTACATTCCTCCCAGCACCTGAATTTTCCATCCATCACCAACTTCCACCCAATCCCATTCCCCAGTTCCGTGGCCCTAACACCTTGCAACCTTACTTCCTTCTGCTTCTGACAGATTCTAAGTACTCAATTGATTCGTTAAACAAATGTAGGAGCCATCGCACAGTTTGTCTTCCTATGCCAGGCTTATTCCCTTCAACACAATGTCCTCAAGGTTTAGCCACGATGTCACAAATTGCAGAACGTCCCTTTCTTTTCTATTTTTAGCCAAATTGTATTCAACTATGTATATATGCTACCATTTTTTAATCCTTTCATCTATTGATGGACACTTAGGTTGGCTATTGTGAATCGTGCTGCAATAAACATGAAAGCATCCTTGACATTTTTCGTTTTCATTGGATATATATTCAGCAGTGAGATTGCTGGATCCATTGGTGATTCTGTTTTCAATATTTTTGAGGAACTGGCATACTGTTTTCCACAATGGATGTACCAATTTTCATTACCACTAACAGTGTACAAGAGTTTCTTCTTCTCTGTGTCCTCATGAACACTTGGTTTCTGTCATTTTTGTAATAGCTTTACTACTAGGTTTAGCTATTTCTTGTGATATTTCTGTTTTAATTTGCAGTCATTCAGTGGTCAGTGATGTTGGGCATTTTCTCATACGCTTGTTAGAAGTTGTGTGTCTTCTTTTGAGAAATGTTTATTCAAATCCATTGTTGTTGCTTAATTGGATGATGAAATGATGATTTTTTTAAAGCAATGAGTTGTTCCAGATCTTTATATAATTTGGATATTAACTGCATATCAGATTTATGATTTGCAAGCATTTTCTACCTTTCTACAGGTTGCTTTTTCCTTCTCTCTGTTATTCCCTTTGTTTTGCAGTAGCTTTTGAGTTGGATATAATTCCATTTGTCTAGTTTTGCTTTTGGATTTATAGTAAAAAAAAAAGAAAAAGAAAAAAAGAAGTCCCTAAGAATGTCTGAAAGCTTTATCCTTTTTTTCTCTTCCAGTAAATTCACAGTTAAAATACTTACATTTAAATTTTTGATCTGTTTGATACTGACTTTTTGTATATGGTTTGAAATAGCATCCAATTTCATTTTTTTCTGCTTTGGGTACCTAATTTTCCAATATTCCTGTTTATTAAAAAGACTGTCTTTTCCTCATTGTATGTTCTTAGCATTTATCAAAACTTACTACAGCAAATGTGTGAATTTTTTATTATGTTTCATTTCATTTGCCTATTTATCTATTTTTGTATTAGTATCATGTTTTTTTGATGACTACAGCTTTATTACTGTAGCTTTAATCAAGTAGTGTGATGTCTCCAGTTTTGTTATTTTTGCTCAAGATTGTTTTCCGTACTTGAAGATATTTTGGTTCCACATTATTTTTAGGATTTTTTTTTCTTGAATAATGTCATTGGGATTTTCATGGAGTTTTTTAAAATATTTTTTTAGTTGTTGATGAACTTTTATTGTATTTATATGCGGTACTGAGAATCGAACCCAGTGCCTCACCCATGCCAGGCAGTGCTCTACCACTGAGCCTCAGCCCTAGGCCCTAAATGGAGGTTTTAAGTGTTGTTGTTTGTTTTTTTTTTTTTTTGGTATCTATCACAATTGGCATTATTTTCTTTTTCAGATAGTTCATTGTTAATGTACAGGAGTGCTATTTATTTTTGTATATTGATTTTGTATACTGCAGCATAATGGAAGGCATAATTGATCTGACTAGGCTTTTAGGAATATGTTGATAGATTTTGTGAGATTGGGCATCTTTTCTTGTTCCTCATCTTAAAGAAAATGCTCAACTTTTTTATTTGGAGTATTATGTTAGCTTGATTTTGTCATATGCAGTCTTTATTGAGTTTCATACCTTATATACCTAGCTTGCTGAGAGTTTTTATTTTTTCCCAAATCGGGAAAAGATGTTTAATATTGTTGAATGCCTTTTGTGAATCCAGTTTTTTCCTTCATTTTTCTAATGTGGTACATGAGAATTACAGATTTGTATATGTGAACTATCCTTTCATTCCTGGGATAAACCCATTTGATTATAGTGAATGATCCTTTAATTAGCTGTTAAATTCAAGAAGCTAGTATTTTGTTGAAGATCTCTACTTCTATGTTCATTAAGGTTTTTGGTCTTTAATTTTCTCATCTTGTTGTATCCTCTTCCGGCTTTGGTATTGTGGTAATGATGGTCTGGTAAAATCATTTGGGAAATATTTTCTCCCCTTAAATTTCATTGAAAAGTTTGAGAAGGATATGGTATTGTTTAAATATTTGATAGAATGCCGTAAGAAAGCCATCAAATCCTGGGCTTTTGTTTGATGAGATGCTTTTTACTGCTGTTTTGATCTCCTTACTTCTTGTTGGTATGTTCTACTTTTCTCTTAATGATTCCATCTTAGTAGGTTGTTTGTATTTGGGATTTTTCCCATGTATTCTAGGTTATCTTAATAGTAGTCCTTGTAATCTTTTGTATTTCTGTTGTATCAATTTTCATTTTCAAGATACCTACTCTTATTTATTTTTTTGGATTGTATTTGAGTCCTCCATTTTTTTTTTCCAACAGATTGTTTGGCTTATGGTTTGTTTTGTTTACTCCTTAAAAAAACCAACTCTGAGTTTGGATAATTATTTCCATTACTTTACTGATGACTGTTTCACTATTTTTGCTTTGTTCATTCTTTTTTTTTTCTGTTATATTTTTGGCTTTAATTTGTTCTTCTTTTTCTGGTAACTTCAAGTATATTTCTAGGTTGCTTGTTTCAGGTCCTCCTTCTTTATTGATGTAGACAAAAATTGTTATAAGTGTCCCATTTAGATAGATTGGCTTTTGCTGCAAACCACAAGTTTTGGTGTGATATTTCTATTTCTGCTTATCTCATGTTTTATTTTTCCAAAATTTCCTTTTATCTCTTGATCCATTGGTTGTTTAAGAGCATGTAAGGAATTTTCTCAAAGTCCTCCTGATACAGATTTCAGCTTTCATGCCAGTGTGCTCTGGTATGATATCTAATATTATTTCAATCTTTTAAAGTGCCTTAAGATTTATTTTATAAACTAATTTATAATCTATCCTGGAGAATAATCTTGTGAACCCTTAGAAGAATGGATATTCTCCTACTTATCTGATGGAAAAGCCTGAATTTGTCTACTAGGTCCACTTGTATAAATTCGAATATATCTATATTCATGTAATTGTCTGATGGATCTAACAAGAGTTATTAACATTTTGTTCTATTTTTTCCTTATAAAGTGATGACCTCCAAGAATTTTATGTACTTGAGCAGAAACTGGAACTGCAGTATGGCTAAGTATGTTTACTTATTCTTAAAAAAAAGAGGTGGTTTTCCTCCTGTTTCAATTTTAACTGAATTATTATTTGTTGGTTAAGTTTATGACCGAAAAATATTTTTAAGCTAATAATTCTCCATTGTTCATTTTTTTCTATTATTTCCAATACATTTTTGACCCTTGAAAAATATATAGCCACATTAATCAAAACAGTCATTTTAACAATTTGTAAATTATTTCTGTACAACATTCCTAAATTATTTCTGTACAAATGTTAAACAGAAACTTGTTTACTATTGCATGTTTCTGAATGAAGGATTATAAATAATTCCTAAAAGTGAACTAGTGGATGAATGAAAACTTCATATGTAACATGATCTAAATCAAGGGTTTGCAAACTACAGTCCAAAAGGACACCACTTATTTCTCTTAGTAGAATTTTATTGTAATAATAGTTACCAGATTTGTTTGTAGATGATCTACTGCTGCTTCCAGACAACAAATTAGGGTTCAGTATTTGTTAGAAACCAAATGTCTCAAAAAAGGCCTAGATTATTTGACATTTGTACATTTAGACTTTTATGATATGTGAGTAATAATAATCATTAAGCAAAGCCAGTTTTCAAAAAATTTAACTACAGTAAAAAGGTATTTCACTTTAAACTAGGTTGTCAGTTCAAATTTTGATATATTGGCATTTTCAGCCTTCTTTACAATAGAATATTGTGCACAATTTTAAACCCATGCTAGAGAAAACAAGTGACAGAAAAACTAAAAAGTATTACCAATTCAAAAATAAAATAAATGTTCTATAGCATGTAAAATTTTATACAGGTTGTTGAAATCCTCAAAATAAAAATATTTTGTGTTTTTGTCAAAAATTCACCTATAATGTTTTCAGTCATTCACATCTGCCCAGTTTGCTAAAAATGACTAATCTGATAGTTTAGAATTTGTATCACAGATGCTGAAATATTTTTTTCTTATGATATCTATTTTGCTAGGCACTGATAGTTTACTAAAAATAAAACAGATTTCATGTGACAGCATATAAAACTTGTGGTAGGATGGTAATTTCATTTGGGGGTTCATTCTTTGTTGGTTCATTACATATATATGAAATATTGGGGTTTGTTTTTATATAATTATATGAGCATGGAATAGAATTTGCTTCATTTCAGTCCTCAGTATTTCTTCCTCTCATCCCCACTTCCCTTCCTTTATTCTCTTTCCTCTACTATATTGATATTTCTTTTGTTTGTAGTATTTTTTTAACAAGTGCCTTATGGACATAGAGATGAAATCCACCGTGGTATATTCATATATGAATACGTATTCATATATGTACTTAGGAAAACTTGATTAAACTCATTCCAATGTTTCTCACTTTTCCCTTCCCTCCTTCTCTACCTGAACCCCCTTCTTCTACTCCACTATTCTTTCTTCTATTGTCATTGAATTTTCATGCCCCCCACCTTTTCCCTTATTATATACTAGCTTTTACATGTCAGAGAAAACACTGGACTCTGGATTTTTTCCTCGATCTAGCTCATTTCACTTAGCATGCTGTTCTGCAGTTAAATTCATACACCAGCAAATTACATTATTTCATTATTCTTTATGGTTGACTAAAACTCTATTGTGTATCAACACCACATTTTCTTTATCCTCCTGTTGATAGGCACCTAGGCTAGTTCCAAAGCTTGGGTATTGTGAATTGTGTTGCTATAAATATTAATGTGGCTGAATCTGTATAGTTTACTGATTTTAGATCTTTTGGATATATACTGAGGAGTGGGAAATCTGCGACATATGGTGGTTATATTCCTAGTATTTTAGGGAATCTGCTTTCCATACTGCTTTCCAAAGTGACTGCAAAGTATGAGTGTACCATTTCCCCCATATCCTTACTAATATTTTTTATTTGTATTTTTCATAATTGCCATTGTGATTGGAGTTAGACGAAATCTCAGTGTACTTTGATTCACATTTCCATGATTGCTAGAGATGTTGAACATTTCTTCATATATATGTTATAATTTGTATTAAGTGTAATTGCTTTGTAATTATATTGTCAGTGCTTTTCTAGTTCTATTAAAAATGTCATATATATACATAAATGTAGTTTGTATTTCTTTAGAGAAGGTCTTTTGTTCTTTTGCTCCTTTAGTAAATGGTTTTAAGCTCTTTGGGTGTTAAATTTTTGAGTTCTTTGTATATTGTGGATATTAATTCAATATCTGAGAAGTGGGTAGCAATGATCTTTCATTCTGTAGGCTATTTCTTCATGCTATTTTTTCCTTTGCTATTCAGAATCTTTCATTTGAAGCCACCTTTCTTATTGCTTCTTGGTTTTATTTCTTGTGCGTTAGTAGTCAACTTTTCCCAGTACCATTTATTAAAGAGGCTATCAAATCTCCAATGTATATTTTTGGTGGCTTTGTCAAGTATCAGATGATAGCATCTGTGTGGCTCTCTCTCTGTGTCTTCTATTCCATTCCATTGATCTTCATGTCTGTTTTAATAATGGTAGCATGCTAACTTTGTTATGATAGCTCAGTAGCATAATTTAATTTGAGGTCAGATTGTGATGTCTCAATCATTGTCTTGTTCAGGATTGTTTTGGCTAGCCCGGGTCTCTTCTTCTTTCAAGTGAATTTTAGAAGTGCTTTTCTAGTTCTATTAAAATGTCATTAATATTTTAATGAGTAATGTATTGAAACAGTATAATGTTTTGGGTAGTATGGCAAGAACATGGAAAGTCTTCCCATTTTCTATCATCTTCCATTTCTTTTCTTCAGTATTCTATAGTTTTCACTGTAGAGGTCCTATATCTCCTTGCTTATCATTATGTCTCAATGCTTTTTGTAGGAGGAGGATTGTTGTTAATGAGAAGTGTTATGATTTGAACCCTTGTGTGAGACAATGCAAGAATGTTTAGAGGAGAAATGTTCAGATTAAGAAAGTCCTAATCCAATCAATAATTCTTCTCCTGATAGGATTAACTGAGTGGTGAGTGAAGATGGGTAGGGTGTGGCTGGTGGAGGTGAGTCATTGAGGGCATGGATTTGGGGTATATATTTGGTGAGATGTACTTGATCTCGATATCTCTTCTCTTCTCTTCTCTTCTCTT